TCATCATTTTGCAAGAAGTACCTCGAAGATCGCGTCTGATTTTCACAGGTTAGGACTGTGTCAAACGGCAGAAGATCGAAGACCTTGGTTCCAAACTCAGGATTATCTTGTAGCTGGAATGCCTTTTTCCCGCAAGTCACCAGCGTGAACAGTACACACCGTAGATCATTTGCATTTGATGTCATCCGTGCAGATGAATTTCCGCCTTGTATTTCGGCAACTTCTAAAGCACGACTCAACAAGTTGCTCTTATTGAAGATACTTCGTCTTAACCCGGTAAGGGCTATAAAAATCATCCCATCTGATTCAACGATGTCGTCGAGTGCTCGGCACAACTCACCTCCCACTTTGATAGGACTGAGGGTCTTGCGTTCGAGCTTTCTTCCGTCTCTTACCCGAACAAATTCGGCCACGATCTTCACGGACCGGCCTGAATTGTTCTCACAGGCTTCGATCTGGTTCTTTTTCAAGACTTCGGCACTTGCAACCAAGAAATAGCTTGACGCACGCTCTGAAATCGAAGTTTTCCCCGAGGAAGTGGAAGAAAGAATTTTAGGGGTGCTGGTATCGGAGAAATGTACAAGACAGCTAGGTCCCAGATACTTTAGTGTTTTATGCCCCTTTGTTTCTTCTACAAGCCGACAGACTGCTAATGCGGCGTCACTCCAACACACCTCTGACGCAGAAGCCATGTTTGAGTTTACTGAGAATTTCAGGTTTTGCGAAAGCTATAACAATGATGATTGCTTTAAGAAGTTGCCTCGATTCAGTGACTTCCGGGAAAATTCCCGCCAGCGTTTATTTTTAACTCATCACACAATCCTGTGACGTAAGTACCTATGGTAACATGGGGCGGAAGAGGAATAGCAATAGGTAAGACTAAAAGGGTGCGTCGAAGACTTTCTGTAAAATTCTCCGACAATTTATTGCTTTAATCTGCAACAAAAGTGACTTACCTCGTTTGGGAGATATACAAGCTCAAGTTAAGCAGTGAAACTAACACCTCTCCGAGAGAAGTTTACTTCACCGTTGCAAGCGACATTTTGAAGGCACAGCTCCATCGTAACCCTTAAAATAACAAATTAAAACTATTGTAATGACAAAAAGCTACAATTTCAAATCTGTTTAATTTATGGTAAATACCCGATCAAACTAAAATGCGACGATTTTGTGGCGAAAACAGGCAAAAGAAACTGGTGGGAACCCTATATATGAACCTGGAACTTTTAAACTTCGTGTTGGCGTATGGACACCCTGCCATTGGATGTCTGATAGGCTTAACACTAATTTGAAGACGATAACTTGATTGTGTGGCTCGTAACTAGCTGGATAGACTTGTCCTAAAGAGACCTTTATTCATACATGAGCACTGGAAAACAGAGTATTTAAAGCGTTTAGGAGAGTTTTTATATCAAATCGCACTCAGATCTTCCCTGAAGTGAAGGTTGTCTCTTATGATGAAATCAGCGCACCAGTCATTTGAATGGAATTTGGCCCGTCCTGATTACAAATCAAGTTTAAGCTTCTCTCTGTTCTGCTTATTTCTACGACTCATTTCCTCTCCCACAATCACAAAAGGCTTAAGTACGGGTCCCAAGTCGTAACATGACATCAGCTGTCCTCGTAAAAGCTTTTTCGATCGCTGCTCTTTTCTCACAGGTGTAGCTAACTTCGGCACTGTCCAAGCTTTCTTTTCTTGTTTGTTTGATAGACTTTCTTGAACTGTTAATTCCTTAGCTCTTGCTACCCCTGCCATCAAGATTTTATGACTTGGCATCAAAGCAACGAGTTTCTCTTTGGCATAATCTTCATTAAAATTGTTTATTTCTTGTACCTGGTGTAGAATTTCCCTCAGGTTTAAGCAATCCACTTTTGGCTGCTGATACTTTGAATAAAATCGCTCATCATTTACCCCTCGCATTTTGAATTCTCGCTGTTTTCGTCGACTCTTTTTGGCCTCTTGACCAGGACCTGAAACTGGGAGCAGGACACACCACCAACGGACGATCATCTAGGCTCTCCGAGTATCTGCCTCTCTGCTCCTTGCTACATAAATCGATTTTGATGCAGACAAAAACTGCTGCTTTGGTTTCATTCCTTCAAAGTTTTTACCACGAATACACAAACTGTAGCAATTGCTCTCTGCGAAACTAGTGAGCCCCGGCTCATTAGACTGAATGTTTGAATCCTTGGCAGGCAAACAAGTGACGACGTGGTGTGAGCCACAATCTGAAGACGACTGAACGAGAGGTAATTCAGGGTCTCTTCGAGACAAAACTTTATCTGTTAATTCCTCAGTTTTCTCTTTTCGTTGAAGTAATCTAAATTGTCTTAACTGCTGAAGATGCCTTTCCAGTTCTTTGGCTGTGTGAGATTTCAGAAGAAAACGCGTTCTCTCATCCAGGTTTTCGTCAGACATGTTTGCTTCCTTTTGTCCTGTAACTAATGGTAAACGCTTGGGCAAAAATTGTTTGGTATGGGCGACCCACAATAAAATGAAATAAACACGAAACCGATCCACTTCACAGATCATTATCTTGATTATTTCCGGAAAATAAGGGAGCTTTGACAAAACTCCTTTCTTCGTTTCTTGATGACGATGCTTTTTAACAGTTTTGTTTATGTGTTATCTTTCAGCCAGAGAGAGAAACAATTCAGTACCAAATTAATAATTCTGTTTTGGGAACAAAAATTGAACGCAAGCACTGATGGATGTAAGTGTAAATGAAATTTTGCGGACTTTATGTAAGAGTAAACATGTACTTTTATTTTGTTGTGGTGTAGTTTTACTCATGTTATGAATATCATCAATATTTTGTGGATAAAATTTCTAATAACTCTTACATAAATGTAAACGTTTTCGCCGTTGACGAGACGTCATCTGTGCCCTCATCCAAATTAGTACCAACTTAACACAAACTTGTTAACACATGTTCAGGTTTGCTTCGCGAAAATAACCCGTAAACTATTCTGATGACTGATAAATTTTACACTTATTTTGGCCATTGGTTTGTCTTCATCTGTTCCCATATCACACAGTAGTAGTTCACACGAAAATCTTAACACCTGTTGTATGCTTCTTGAAAATTACCAGTAATGTGAACTCTCTTGACACGATCAGGACAAACATAGCTACTACGTATTTAACCAGATCTTTACTTTAGTATAATAGCTGTTTATAGGCCACTGAGTTTTCCATGATGTTTCATTTATTCATTAGGTTTCTCTTTTCTTTTGTGAAGTTCAAAAAAGAGACGTATTTGTAATTGTAAATTTTGAAATCAACTTTGTAACATCAGTAACCTGAAAAAGACCCATATATAAAAACTTGGTGGATTAGGAACCGACTGCCACCTAATTTGCCATTGAAATATCACAAAAAAGTACTGGAGAAGTCTACTTAGTCTGGCAAAGGGACTAAGGTCCCCGTATCAAAGAAACAACTAAATAACGATAGTCAATGTCTGTATCATTGTGTCACTCTGCTTCACACAGAATATATTACATAAAACACACATGCGGAAGCAGGTTGATTTACGTCTGTAAAGAGTGACAAGAACAGTTAATGGTTTAAACCAGGCCGGGGAAGGGGGGGGG